TCGTCTGCAAACTTGGAAATAGTACTTGCAATACCCAAGTCCAGATCATTTATGTATATTAAGAAGAGCAGTGGTCCCAATACCGATCCCTGGGCGATGCCACTTTACACTTCCCTTTAGTCAGAAAAGCAGCCGTTCACCACACCTCTGTTTCTGTCTCCCAGCGAGCTCTGGATCCATGCTGCCACTGTCCCTTCTATTTTTCTTACTAGTCTTTTATGTGGAACTTTGCCAAATGCCTTTTGAAAGTCCATATAAACTACACCAACTGCACAACCTTCATCCACCCGCTCCATTACCTCATCAAAGAATTCTATTAGATTTGTTAGACAAGATTTGCCTTTAACAAATCCATGTTGGCTGTCCCTAATTAACCCATATTCTTCTAAGTGAAGATTTATTCTGTCCCGGATTACAGTCTCCAGGAGTTTCCCCACTACTGATGTTAAGCTGACTGGCCTGTAGTTCCCAGGTTTGTCCTTCTGTCCCTTTTTGTACAGGGAGTCACATTGGCCACTCTCCAGTCCTCTGGGACCACCCTACCTTTGACTAACCTTTTTTTCTTGATAGGTTTGTGAAATATTTTAGAATTCCCTTTAATGTTACCCGCTAACCATTTTTATATAATCTTTTTTCCCTCTCTTATTTCCTTTTTCAGTTCTCTTCTATACTTCCTGTATTCTATTTGGTTGTCTTCTGTATCTTGGGTTTGACATTTGCCATACACCTTGTTTAACCTCCAAAATACAGTCAACCCAATTTACAGTAAATCCTGTGAAGCGCTTTGAGATGCCTGTATCAAATGCGAGGATTATTATTATTATTTTGTGGTTTCACACATTGTCTTTCAAGTTGGTGCATTTTAATGAGCCCTGTAGCTCAGTGGTTAGAGCCCTCACCTCGCAAGCGAGAGACCTGGGTTCAATTCCCAACAGGGCAAAACCTTGGGCAAGTTTCCTTACTCCACATGCCTGATAATAAAGAAAAAAAATTATAATTTTGTCACTGAATCCACAACTGTTTGTGGGACAATTGGCTGCTGTGCGCAATTGGCTGCCGCGTTTCGCCCACAAAATATACAGTCAATTCACTTTACAGTATATTCTGTAAAGCACTTTGAGACGTCTCGGAGACGTGAAAAGCGCTATATCAAGATGCAATAACAACAACAAGATTACATTTGTATAGCGCCTTTCATGTCGGGAGGACATCCCAAGGCGCTGGAAATACGGGGGGGAGATGGGGTCACGGAGTTTGGCATTTCAGACCCGACCTGGAGTCGGGAGTAGAAGGGAGGGGAGGGGCGGTGGCCGATGGCATGGTCGAAGAGAAGGGTCTTAAGATGGGACTTGAAGAAGACTAAGGAGGGGGTGAGGCTGAGTGACTGGGGGATGGAATTCCAGAGGTTGGAGCCGGAGTGGGTGAAGGCTCTCCCACCAATGGTGGTGCGGGGGATATGGAGCAGGCCAGAGCTGGCTGAGAGGAGGGAATAGACGGGTTGGTAGGGGGTTAGAAGGTCACAGAGGTAGGGTGGGGCGAGGCCATGGAGGGCTTTGAATATGAGGACCAGCATCTTCAACTGGATCCTCTGAAGGATAGGGAGCCAATGGAATCGGGCGAGAATGGGGGAGATGGGGTCACGGTGTTTGGTGTGGGAGAGGACACGGGCTGCAGAATTCTGGATTATCTGTAGTCTGTGGAGGGAGGAGTTGGGAAGGCTGACAAGCAGGGCATTTGGATAGTCGAGCCTGGAGGTGATGAAGGCATGAACAAGAGTTCCAGCGGCCTGAGGGGTGAGGTAATGGCAGAGTTGAGCAATGTTACGGAGGTGAGGGAAGGCAGAGCGGGTCATGGCTTGAATGTGGGGGAGAAAAGACAGTTGAGGGTCGAACAAGATACCTGGGTTCCTGACTGGCTTTGTGAGTTGTAGTGTACAACTATGGAGGTTGATGCTGTCAGAGCCTGAGGTGCTGAGGCGCTGGCGTGAGCCAATCAGGAGGGCCTCAGTCTTGTTCACATTCAACTGTACGAAATTTGCCCTCATCCAGGACTTGATGTCCGACAGGTAGTCTGTCAGGACATCAGTGGTCCTGGAGTTGAGGGTGGAGGCAGAAAGATAGAGTTGGGTGTCATCCGCATACATGTGGAGGTTGACCCCATGTCTGCGGGTGATGTCACCAAGAGGGAGCATGTAGATATTAAAGAGGAGAGGGCCAAGGACAGAGCCCTGGGGGACACCAGATGTGACAGTGCGGAGGCTGGAGGAGAAAACGTTAGAGGCAACAAAATGGAGACGGTGAGAGAGATAGGAATTGAACCAGGCAACGGCAGGTCCGCGAAGATTAACAAGAGGAGAGGCAGTGTATGAGGATGGAGTGGTCGACAGTGTCGAAGGCGGCAGAGAGGCAGAGGAGGACAAGGAGGCAGAGGGAGCCCTAATCACAGATGTTCAGAATGTCATAAGAGACTTTGACCAGGGCTGTTTCCATGCTGTGGGGTTCATTGGAGGGGTTCAAAAAGGGAATGGCGAAAGAGAAAGGAGCGGAGCTGGGGCGCGACAACTCGTTCCAGGACCTTGGAGAGGAATGTGAAGTTAGAGATGGGGCGGTAGCTGGAGAGAAGGAATGGATCCAGGGAAGATTTTTTTTTCAAGATGCAAGAAATGAGGCAGAGTTAAACCCACCCCACCATCGGCGGTCAGGCTTTCAGCCTTTCTGCCCCACTCTGGAACTTTATCCAGCAGTTCCTCCGACTTTCTCTCTCCCTCCCTCACCTTGTTCAAAACCTGTCTCAAATGTGTGTCTGACTGCGCTTTCCCCTCCTCCACCTCAGCTCCCACTGTCCAGCACTGCAAAGTTCCAATTGTCATGGGACGTCCTCCAAACATGAAAGCACTGTGTAAAAATGTATATTGTGCAGTATTGTAAGACTCCCTTTCCTGAGGAAACCATGTACTGCGGTTATAGTGGGACATGGTTGAGCTTTCAATACCCTGGATTAGAGGCAGAGAGCTAATTGCTAGAACGCAAGGCTTTAATTCCCTACCAGAGCTTTCTCACGCACAAACACGGATATTTGTAAGAGATTATGATATCCTGAGCCCCATCTTCAAACCTCTCTTTGTCCTGATTACATTATTATAATAACAATATCTTATCACGTCGTTGATACGTCTGAAAATACTTAACAGAATATATTGTAATATATTGTAACCCGGGTCCTCTCACTTGTGTAGCAAGCATGCTAACCACAACGCTACAGGACTCTATGTATCCTCTCCAATTCTCGCGCCTCCTGAAAGTGCTGACTCATCGTTGCCCAAAATAATGATGCAGCAAAACGTCTCAAAAGTCTCTTCATGTGGGAATTGCTCTCAAGTCTGTCAGCATAGCTCAGTCGGTCACACTCTTGCCTCCTGTCTGTGTTTCTGTCTCCCAGTGTCCTGGCCAACAATCCCCTAGGTAAAAATGGTTGTTCATTTTGTGGCTGTTTGTGTGATATTGCTGCCGTGGTTGCCTCCAAATACACGGTAAATCCTGTGAAGCGCTTTAATATAATAATCCTTGCATTTCATATAGAACCTTATCATGTCTTCGAGATGTCTCAGCACTTCACAGAATGTAAGAGATTAAAATAAAATAAAATGTAAGAGATTAAAATAAAATAAGAGATAAAAGTGAAAAGACTGGAAATTTTGTGTGACTGACCTTTTTTTTTAAAAGGGATTATTACCAAATCCCTGATTGTCCAGCATCTTGGGACGTTCTCCCAATGTGAAAGACTCTATACAAATGTAATATTGTTTTGTATTGCCCCCGGAAAAGCAATCCGCCAATCCACTAACAACCAGGTTCCTACTTACTGCTAGGTAAATGTGTGGAGTAAGAAAACTTACCTAACATTTCGCCCTGCACAGGAATCAAAATCAGGTCCTCTCATTTGCAAGGCAATTGCTCTATCCAATATGCTATAGGACTCCACAGGCTTTGAGACGCTCTGCCAAAGTGATAAGGCTCTATACCGAATGCAAGGATTATTATTATAATGCACAGTTTATCATTAGGAGAGGCTAGAGAAGCAAAGGAGATTTACCAGGATGGTACCAGGAATGAGGGACTTCAGTTATCAGGAGAAGCGAGAGAAGCCAGGATTATTCTCCTTGGAGCAGAGAAGGTTAAGAGGAGTCTTATTAGAAGTTTTCAAAATTACGAGGGTATTCAATATGGTGAACAAGGAGAAGCAAGGGTGGGTTGGTAACCCAAGGACACCGATTTAAAATAGTTGTTAAAAGAGAGTGAAGGTGAGGAGAAATTTTTCACACAGCGGGTGTTCGGATCTGGAATGCATTGCCTGAAAGAGTGGTGGAAGCCAATTCAATAACAATTTTTAAGAGATGTAGATAATTATTTGGGGAGGACAAGTTTGTAAGGCTATGGGGAGAGAGCAGGGGAGTGGGATTGAATTGGATAGCTCTTTTCAAAGAGCCGGCACAGACATGATGGGTCGAATGACCTGATTCTGTGCTATATCATTCTATGATTGATACCACCTTTCACTTCGGTAGGATGTCCAAAGGTGCTGGAAAATTAGAGGTTTGCACCCGAACTGCGGGTTGGGATTAGAGAGGCGTAGAGGAGGGAGGATGACCAAAGGTGCAGACAAAAAGGAAGGCCTTGAGATGGGCCCTGAAGGAGGCAAGGGAGGGGGCAAGACAGAGGGGCACCAGGATGGAATTCCAGAGGGTGGGGACAGAAAGGCTGAAGGCCCGACTGCCATTGGTGAAGCAGGCAGGGCAGGGTACGTGGAGCAAGCCAGTGCCTGCTGAACTGAGGGAATGGACAGCTTGGTGAAGTTTTATTGGGTTGCAGAGGGAGGGAGGAGCGAGACTGTTGAGGGCTTTATAGATGAGTACGTGAATCTTGAACTCAATCTTCTGGGGGATTCGGGCGAGGATTCATTAAAGGTGAATTCACAAATTTATGCCATGTGGTTTCCTGCAGATGGTCTGTAGAACACACTGGATTGCAGTGCTGACGAGCTCGTGACCAGCCTTACAAACTGAGTTAGAGACATCCGTAAGCACGAGAGACATCTGATCGGCGAGTACCATGGCAGCACAGAGGATTCGCTCCAATACCGCGAGTGCACTTCCCCGGTGTAAATCGGAAGGGACGTTGATCGACCTGAGTGAAGGATTTTCAGAGCTGAATGTCAATGATGTGAAAGGTGAGTGGTAAATCTTACCTTTATAAATTTTATAGTCGCCTAAGTCGTACATGCACCTGAGTCCCATTTATTGTCCTATCAAAACCACTTAGATTTATTTGCACGAGTGTTAATCACCTCCTAACTCGTAATGCCATTCCCCTACCCTGCATTGAATCGTGGGAAGTGAATCCTGACTCATCAGCAAATCCGCACTTATTGGCCGGCTGCATTTCCAGTGCAATTCCAAAACTTGCACATGCGGCAACAGGTCAAGTCGCAGGAAATGTAATCTTGACCCATCACCGCACGTGCAGTGTTTGCTGCAGTGAATTCCACATGTTCAGTGATTATTGAAATACGCATGTGCAGTGTATTTTATTGATTAAATCAGATTTATAAAGTTAGCCTGCAACTTAGACTTCGGTTAAGCCATTTTAAATTATGGTCCTGACTGATATTACTTATGTGAGTTTTACTGTATTGCTACACTAATGTCTGCCTTAAGCCTGTTAGCCTGGCTTAGTGGTAGCACTCTCTCGCCTCTGAGCCAGAATGCTTTGGGCTCAAGCCCCATATCAGGATTTGAATTCATAGTCTAGGCTGACGCTCCAATGCAGTCCTGGGGGTGACATCCTTCTGGTAAGACATTAGTCCGAGGTCCCATCTGCCGTCTGTGGTTGTTAAAGATCCCATGGCACAACAACAACAAGATTACATTTGCATAGCACCTTTCACGTCGGGAGGACATTCCAAGGTGCTGGACAGTGTACAGCATTTCAGACCTGAGCTGGGGTCAGGGGGGGAGAAGGGAGAGGAGTGGCTGATGGCATGGTTGAAGAGGAGGGTCGAAGCCGAGTGACTGGGGGGTGGAATTCCAGAGGCTGGGGCCAGAGTGGCTGAAGGCTCTCCCGCCAATGGTGGGGCGGGTGGGTCGGGGGACTTGGAGCAGGCCAGAGCCAGCTGAGCGGAGGGAGCAGGTGTGTTGGTAGGAGGTTAGAAGGTCACAGAGGTAGGGTGGGGCGAGGCCATGGAGGGCTTTGTATGTGAGGACCAGGATCTTGAACTGGATCCTATGAAGGATAGGGAGCCAATGGAGTTGGGCGAGAATGGGGGAGATGGGGTCACGGAGTTTGGTGCGGGAGAGGACATGGGCTGCAGAGTTCTGGATTATCTGCAGCCTGTGGAGGGAGGAGTTGGGAAGGCCGACAAGCAGGGCGTTTGCATAGTCGAGCCTGGAGGTGATGAAGGCATGAACAAGAGTTTCAGTGGCCTGAGGGGTGAGATAGTGGCGGAGTCGGGCGATGTTACGGAGGTGAGGGAAGGTGAGGGAAGGCAGAGCAGGTCATGGTTTAGATGTGGGGATGAAAAGACAGTTGAGGGTTGACAAGACGCCCAGGTTCCTGACTGGTTTGGTGAGTTGTAGTGTGCAACCGTGGAGGTTGATGCTGTCAGAGCCTGAGGTGCTGAGGCGCTGGCATGAGCCAATCAGGAGGGCCTCAGTCTTGTTTACATTCAACTGTACGAAATTTGCCCTCATCCAGGACTTGATGTCCGACAGGTAGTCTGTCAGGACATCAGTGGTCCTGGAGTTGAGGGTGGAGGCAGAAAGATAAAGTTGGGTGTCATCCGCATACATGTGGAAGTTGACTCCATGTCTGCGGATGATGTCACCAAGGGGGAGCATATAGATATTAAAGAGGAGAGGGCCAAGGACAGAGCCCTGGGGGACGCAAAACATGACAGTGCGGGGACTGGAGGAGAAACCGTTAAAGGCAATAAAGTGGAGACGGTGAGAGAGATAGGCAAAGGCAGTTCCGCAAAGATTAAGTAAAGAGGAGAGGTGGTGTATGAGGATGGAGTGGTCGACAGTGTCGAAGGCGGCAGAGAGGCAGAGGAGTTCAAGGAGGCAGAGGGAGCCCTGATCACAGATGTTCAGAATGTCATAAGAGACTTTGACCAGGGCTGTTTCCATGCTGTGGGCAGCGTGGAAGCCGGATTGGAGGGGTTCAAAGGGGGAATGGCGAGAAAGGAAGGATTTGAAAAGAGAAGGGAGTTTCCCTCTCCTGGTGTCCTGGCCAACAATCCCCCAGATAAAATCAGTCACTCACTCATTGGCTGTTTGTGGGAACAATGCTGAGTGCAAATTGGCTGTTACATTTCACCCATAAAATACACAGTCACTGCACTTTACAGTAAATCCCGTGAAGCACTTTGAGACATCTCGATAATGTGACGAGGCTCATGAAATAAAAGTATTATTATTTATAGCTGAGGCTTCCTCCCAGCTTGAGCTTCCACTCTGTCTTTGTAAAGTGTTTTAAAAAGTTATGTCTACATGAAAGGCACAGCAGTATCAGTGCAAATTGTTCTGGGGATAAACCATTGGGAGACTGCCACTTAATAACAGAGTAACCTAATTTGACATCTGCCTATGAACCACAACAGCAACCACAACAAGATTACATTTGTATAGCGCTTTGCACGTCGGGAGGACAAGGCACCGGAGAGTGTACAGCATTTCACTACTGGGCAGGGAATCCTCCCACTTAGCTACTGTTAACCCTGCAAGACAAGGACCTTAAGGGCTAGGGTGCTCCTAGCTGAACAAACAGCGTGAAAGCTTGCCAGACAGAGCTCGCAATGGTAAACTTCCGGGTTTAGCTGGTTAGACTCCAGCAGTTACACCCAATGCACAATTTGGGGTCCTCAAGCCTTGGCTTTTGCCAATCTGCGCCTAATATTTTCCTGAATTAAGTAAGCAAGATGCGTTCCTTCAGCGAGAGTGTGTGCATTCCATTCCAATAAATATCTCGTGAATTTCCATGTGCAGGTGGGTTGCATGGAATTCTCAGCTTGGTTTGGATACTTTTAAGTAACGGGTTTCCACAGGTGTCAGGGGTAACAACCAGCCGACCGGGCTGATTTCCCACCTCCCCACCCTCCCCCCAAAAGTTGAATCTCTTTGTGGAGAGTTAGCTAAATCACCATGCACGACAGGCTTGTGCTCTCCGCACTTCGCTTACTCTCTCTCAAACTGGTGGTTTGATGTGACCTCTGGGTTTGAAGTTCACTTCCTACCGTTCACATGCTGTTGGAGTTGAGGGGAGTGGGGGGAGGGGAGGTTACAACAACAACAAAACAAGATTACACTTATAGAGCACCTTTCACGATGGGAGGACAACCCAAATCGCAGTCGGGTCAGGACCCGAGAATGGGGTAGGGGTGGTGTAGGGGTGAGGGAAGGCAGAGAGGTGGGACGGAGACCAAAGGCACGGTCGAAGAGAAGGGTCTTGAGACCGGCCTTGAAGGAGGCAAGGGAGGAAGTGAGGCGAAAAAAGACCGTGGGATGGAGTTCCAGAGTGTGGGGGCAGAGAGGCTGAAAGCTCGGCCACCGATGGAAGGGCGGGTCGGGCGGGAGACATGGAGCAGGCCGGAGCCCGCTGAACGGAGGGAGCGGCAGGTTGGTAGGGAGTCAGCAGGTCAGAGAGGTAGGAGGGGGCAAGACCATGGATGGCCTTGAAAGTGAGGACGAGGATCTTGAATTCAATCCTATGAGAAATGAGGAGCCAGTGGAGTCAGGTGAAGGTGGGAGTGATGGGGTCACAGAGCTTGGTGCGTGAGAGTACACGAGCTGCAGAGTTTTGGATGATCTGCAGCTTGTGAAGGGAAGAGTTGGGAAGGCCGAAGAGGAGGGAGTTCCCGTAATTGAGCCTTGCGGTGACAAATGCGTGGGTGAAGATTTCAGCAGCTTGAAGGGTGAGGCAGTGGCGGAGTCTGGCAATGTTGCGGAGGTGGTGATAGGCAGTGCCGGTCATGGTGCGGATGTGGGGGAGAAAGGACATTTCAGGGTCAAAAAAGATGCCCAGGTTCCTGACTGGCTTCGTGAGGTTGAGTGTGCAGCAGTGGATGCTGATGCTGCCAGCATTTACAGGGTAGATGTGCTTTGAGGAAAAATCAAACCATTGATGGTGATACCTGACATCTTAAAAGAATATTGAGCATTTGATCTATGGTTCTTTTGACTTGCCTGTGCCCCACCCCTCTGCTCACCCATTTCGCTCTGATACATATAGCCCCATCCCCTGACCCCTCTGCCCCACTAGCTTTCAGCCACATCTCTCGAACCCCCTGCTTCAATCCCTCTTCTGTGCCCCCTTTTGCTGTTTTCAAATTGTGTCTGAAGACCTTCCTCTTCGACCTCTCCTCTCTTTCCAGCTCAGCATCAGGCTTCTCTGCTGTTAAGCACTCCGAGATGCTACCCGGCGTGATATAGATGCAAGTTGTTGTTGTACTACAGTAAAACTCCCTTAAATCTTATTTTTATAAATTGTATATTCACCTAAATCGTATATTCACCCATGACCCATTCAGTTTCCTATCAAAACCACTTTGATTCCTTTGCACAACTCGTATTAATCACCTCCTAACTCGTAACACCGCTCCCTTACTCTCCATTACTCCCGCGCTTACCGGTTACATTGAATCATATAGTTTGCCTGCAATTCGGACTTTGCATAAATCATATTAAACTCTGATCCTTACTGATATGACTTATGCGAGTGCTACCAACTGAGCCAGACTTGATGCACAGATTGGGTGAGAGGAGATCAGGCTTTGCCATGCTATATATATATAAAAATAATAATAATAATAATCCTTGCATTTGATATAGCGCTTTTCACGTCGGGAGGACGTCCCAAAGCGCTTCACAGAACACACTGTAAAGTGAATTGACTGTATATTTGTGGGCGAACGCGGCAGCCAATTGCGCACAGCAATGTCCCACAAACAGTCGTAGATTGAAAATGACCAATTTATTATTGTTTTTGGTTTTGGAGGGATTATTATTAGGCTCTGTGTGGAGTAAGGAAACTTGCCCAAGGTTTCGCCGTCTGCCTGGAATTGAACTCAGGTCTCTCACTTGCAAAGCGAGTGCTCTAACCACTGAGCTACAGGACTCCACGTCAAAATCGGTAGCTGATATACTCACTGTCAAGGCTCGTACGTTAACTTGGTGAGATATTTAGCGCAATGGAACTCTCTCTCCCACAGTGGTCCTTGCTACCTTCCTCTCTGCTGTAAAATTCAGTGAGGAAATCGAGTCCTTGTCATTTTTAGGGAAGAACAACAGAAAGACGGTTGGTGAGAAAAGGGGTGAACAGATTAAAAAAAAGAAAAGACATAGCCCTACCTTTTTTAGTATGTCTAAATAGGGGGATCTGAACATTTTGGCTACTGAGGGCTGGCTGCCAGATTTGAGAAACGTCTGGGAGCCGCAATACTTTTGTGTTTCCCTTCCAGGAACATAAGCTATAAGAAACATACAGAAATCCTATGTTTTAAATTGTATAACTATATTACTTAATTTCACTATATTTTAGTTACAATATTTGACCCTTGTTGAAGCCTCCCCTCCTGGCTACATGTTTCACCACAGCCCTGCCTGATCAACGTGGTGGCGGGGTGGCCCTCATCTCCTAAGCTTCCCTTTGTCTATCCCCTTATTCCTCTGGCTGTTTCTCCTCCTTTGAGCACTGCACCCTCTACCATTCTTCCTTTCTCTCTCTCAATATTCTCATAGTTACTGCACTCCCAAACTTCGTGGCTCCTTCCTTTCCTCTCTCCTCTCATCCCTGTCCCTCTGGACTGAACACCTGCTCATAATGGGTGATCTCAACCTCCACCTTAACTTCCCTTGCACCATATCCTCAGACCTCACTGCCCTCTTCTTATTATAATAATAATAATAATCCTTGCATTTGATATAGCGCTTTTCACGTCTTCTAGATGTCTCAAAGCTCTTCACAGAATATACTATAAAGTATTTGTGGGTGAAACGCGGCAGCCAATTGCACACAAAGGTGTCCAACAAACAGTCGTGGATTGAAGTGACCAATTTATTATTGTATTTTTTTCTTGAGGGATTATTATTAGGTGTGTGGAGTAAGGAAATTTGCCCAAGGTTTTGCCCTTTTCTTCTTCTCCCTAAACCGCACCCTCCACATCAACTCGCCAACCCACAACCGTGGCAACCCCCTTGATCTCATCATCACACATGGCCTTGACATTTCTGACCAGTCCATCGTGGACAAGGCCATTTCGGACCACTTCCTCATTTTTCTCTCCTCCCGCATCCCCCTCCCCTCTTCCAAACTCTCCACCATCTTTTTCCGCTCCTGGAAAAAGCTTCTGCCTGAGTCCCTCACAAATGCCCTCTCTTCTCAAACTTCCTCTCCCTCTGGCCCTCTACCCACAGCGATCCTGATGCAGCCATCAAGCTGCTGAATGACTGTCTCTCCACAACCTTAAATTCCCTGACTCCCCTGAAATCAAGGGCTATTTCCAAATCCACCCACTCCTCCTGGTAGCATCTCCACTGACTTAAAACCCAAACCCAATGCTCGAAAGCAGATGGCAGAAATCCGGCCTCACTATTCACCGCCATCTGTGACTCAAGCACCTCCACACCTACTGCCTCTCCCTTTCACAGGCCCAAACTGACTTTTATTCCAAAGTCATCCTGGAGGCCCAAAACAACCCAAAGACAAAATCCACTGTTCAAGACCTCCTCAGTGCACCCTCAAGACCCCTCTATCCTAATATCAAACGACAAGTGCGAAGAGGTCCTAGACTTCTTTACTTCAAAAACTGAAAATATCCGCTGCATCGTCCTACCCCCCTCATTTCCCCATTTGCCACTCCCCCCTCCTTACACTCTTTTGCCCGCATTTCTCTCTCCCTCTCAACCACAATCACCCACATGAAGTTCACCACCTGCTTCCTCGACCCCCTCCCCACCCAGCTGCTGGTCACTCGATTCCCCCTCCTCTGCTATCCGACACGGTCAACCAGTCTCTCACCTCAGGCTCTGTTCCACACACCCTGAAAAACGGTTTCATCACACCCCTCCTCAAAAAACCTACCCTCGATCCCTCTAACCTTTCATACTACCATTCCATTTCCAACCTGCCCTTCCTTGCTAAAGTCCTGGAATGCATTGTTGCAGGTCAACTTCAGCCACACGTCTCCCTCCACTTCCTTCTCGAGCCCCTGCAATCTGGTTTTTGCTCTACCCACAGCACAGAGATAGCGCTTGTCAAAGTCACAAACAATGACCTCTCTATCTGTGACCAAGGCTCCCTCTGCCTACTCGTCTACCTGGATCTCTCTACCGCGTTCAACACAGTCAGCCACGCCATCCTCCATCGCCTCTCCTGCCTCATCCACCTTAGTGGGACTGCACTCACATGGTTTGAATCCTACTTAACCAACTGCCTCCACTTCATCTCAGCAAATGGTTTCTCCCGCCCCGCCTGGTCACCTGCAGGGTACACCAGGGCTCCCTCCTTGGCCCTCTTCTTTTCCTCATCTATATGCTCCCTCTTGGTGATGTCATCTGTAAACTAACACATGTATGCGGATGACACACTAGCTCTATCAGCTTGTCTGACAGACATCAGGACCTGGATGAGTGCAAACTTCCTGCAGCTGAATATGGACAAGACGGAAGCCATACTCCTTGGCTCCCTCCCGTCAACGTCTTCATTCCTGCGGTTCTAAACTCCTCAAACTCCTTGGGCTCTCCTTCAGACTCACCGAACCAGTGCACAATCTAGGCATCCGGTGTGACCCCCAGCTGTCCTTCCTCCCCCACATCTGGTCCCTGACCAGGACCACCATCGTCCACCACCGCCACATTGCCCACCTCCAACCGTACCTTACTCCAAATGCAGCCAAAACCCTCGTGCACACGTTTGTCACCTCCCGCTTAGATTACTCCAACTCACTCATCGCTGGTCTCCCTAGCCCCACCCTTCAAAAAATCCAGCTCCTTCAGAACTTTGCCGCCTGCATACTTACCCGGACCAAACTCCGTACCCACATCTCACCAGTTTTGGCCAGGCTCCACTGGCTCCCCATCACCACACGGATCAATTTCAAGATCCTCACACTCGTTTTCAAATCCTTTCACTCTCTGGAGCCTCTCTACCTCTCCGACCTCCTGGCTGCCCAATCCACCACCCAGGGACTCCTCTCAACCTCCACCGGCCTCTGCTTGACCCTCGCACCCTCCACTCCACCATTGGAGTTCGCGCATTTAGATATTACGCCCTGAAACTCTGGAAGATGCTCCCTCAATCCCTCCACCTCATCCCTCTCTCCCGTTTTTCAAATCCCACCTGAAAACCTTCTTTTTCGACCGTGGTTCCGGTCACCTACCCCCCCACTCCCAGCTCCACCACTGTCAAGCGCACTGAGACGCTACCCTGCATAGAGACGCTACCCTGCATAGAGGGTGCAAGTTGTTGTTGTTACAATGCAAACTTTAAATAGACAATGTAAAAATTCAATACAAATTTTAAAACAACAGTACGCTTTTATCAATAAAGTACATTTATGTGCCGATAATCATTAAATTCAGAGTAAACAATGAAAATGAAATAAATGATTAGGTGAATTAAAAATGCACATAGTTTAATTACCCTAACAACTCTCCCTCAGACTCACCGAACCAGTGCGCAGTCTAGGTGTCCAGTTCGACCCCCAGTTGTCCTTCCTTCCCCACATCCATTCCCCAGGACTGTCTTCCTCTACCTCCGTCACATTGCCACATGTGCATTCCCTAACACTGGTAAGTGTTTCTCTTGAACCAAATCTTCAATATCCTTTATTTTTCACATCTGCCTTATGTTTCTGACTGAGACTCAGAGTTCTGTAGTTTTAGAATTGCAAAATATGCAATAATACCTTTTTGAAATATTTCCACTGCGCCTCTTTCCAATCACTTTTCTCGCTGAGAGTGACAGGAAGAAAGCCGCAGCTGGGAGGTAATGGTTCCTGTCCCGTGTGCCGCCAGCTGTACCACCCTGGTCTAACTTGTTTTGTTTTTCTCGTCTAAACCTGCAGTGCCTTCTCCCAGCTTGTTGCGACTGGAGAAATCAACATCTTTCGGGGATGCCCGTGAGGTTATCGCTATCAAGGACTATTGCCCGACAAACTTCACCACGCTGCGGTTCAACAAGGGCGACCATCTGTACGTGTTGGACACGTCCGGTGCCGAGTGGTGGTACGCGCACAACAACACTGAGATGGGTTACATCCCGGCCTCGTACGTGCAGCCGGTGCGAGCCCGGAGCTCCTCGCTGTGCGACAGTGGCATGGTGGACAATATTGGCGACAGCTCAGATGAAGGTGCCAAAGAGATGGATCTTCTGGGAGATTTGGGCGACCTTTTCGGGAGAGAGCCCGCCAAGTCCCGGCACAACAACCCCTTTTTGAATGGCGCCGCGTCCTCCAACCCTTTCCTGACTGGCAGTGTCCACACACCTGGCCTGACTGTCCAGCAGGCATCCAGAGCCGACGTGGACCTTCTCCTCTTTGACTCTGTGACCCCTTTGGCTTTCGCTGCACCCAGCGCCTCGGCCAATCACGTAAGCGATGATCTCTTTGATGAAGCGACACCGGTGGCCACGAAAGCTGAACCCAACCCACTGCTGAGTCGCAACAACCCATTCTTCAGGAGCAAGCGGTCCTACAGCATGTCCGAGCTCTCTGTCCTGCAAGCCAAGAGCGATGGACCTTCCTCGTCGTCTGGCTTCTTCACGGGCATGAAATCCCCGGACCCCGAGCAGTTTAAGAGCCGCGAGGACTTCCGAATGGCCTGGCTGAGCCACAGGAAGCTGGCCCGCTCGTGCCACGACTTGAACTCACTCGGGCAAAGCCCCGGCTGGGGTCAGACACAGCCGGTGGAGACCAACATCGTGTGTAAGCTGGACAGCGATGGTGGGGCAGTTCAGCTTCCAGACACGAGCATCAGCATTCACGTGCCGGAGGGACACATCTGCCCGGGGCAGACACAGCAGATTTCCTTGAAAGCCTTGCTGGACCCCCCACTGGAACTGAACAATGACAAGTGCACTACCGCCAGCCCCGTGGTGGAGATCAAGCTGAGCAACATGGAAGTTAGAACTTTCCTCACCCTGGAGATGAAGATATTCGCCGAGTTGAAAGAGGAAGCTGCAAGCAGGGGTGAGGCTGAGATAACCTGTCTCTACAGTGAAGCCAAGGATGGGCCCTTCTTGCCCATGACTCAGGTCTATCACTACGGGGAAACGGTGCAGGTGCAGCTGGACAATTTGGAGCCTTGCATGTACGTGGCGGCGGTTTGCCAGGCCAAGAAGCTCCAGTACCCCGCCACCGTGTGGGACTTTATTCACAAAAACATCACCATGGGTGTGTACGGGCCGAAGCACATCCATCCCTCGTTCAAGACAGTTGTGGCGGTCTTTGGGCACGACAGCGTGCCCAAGTCTCTGTTGGTCAGCGAGGTAGGCAGGGAGGTTCTAAACGTGCCCCCGGTGCCACTGCAGCTGTGGGGGAAGCACCAGTTTGTGCTGTCGAAGCCACAGGACTTGAGGATTGGCCTCTACCCCAACATCTCCAACTACCAGGTCAAGCCATCCGAACAGGTCAAGGTGGTGCGTGGCTTCCAGGTCAAACTGGGCAAAGTCAGCCGGCTGGTCTTTCCCGTCCATTCCCGGGATCCGGAGGAGCTGTCCGACTTCATGCTGAGGGTCCAGGTCAAGGACGAGCAGGAGGGCATGTTGAGCCAGTTTTGTGTGCGGACCCCTCAGCCGCCTCCCAAGCCGGGACCCAAGAACCCGGGGCAGCGTCGCTTCCTGAAGAAAAAAGAAGCCAGCAAGATTGTGCTCTCACCCTTGGCCGCGATGAGCAGGTATCCCGTCTTCCAGGACCGCCCTGTAAACAACCTCAAGTACGGCAAATTGCTGAAGACCGTGGTGAGGCAGCACAAGAACTACTACCTACTGGAGTATAAGAAGGGAGATGTGATCGCCTTGTTGAGCGAAGAGAGAATTAAGCTGAAAGGACAGCTGCGGACCAAAGAGTGGTACACGGGGTACTACCAGGGTAAGCTGGGGCTCGTACACACCAAGAACGTGCTGGTGGTCAGCAAAATCAAGCCCAGCTTCTTCTCAGGGCCAGACCTCACCACCGGCATTCTCTTGGAGCAGATCCTCAGACCGTCCAAGTTCCTGACGTACATCTACGCCTCAGTCAGGCTGACTCTGATGGAGAACATCAGCAGCTGGAGAGCCTTCGCGGATGCCCTGGGCTACAAAAACGTGGCACTGGCGCACTTCTGCCGTGCTGAGACAGACAGTGAGCCCGAGCGGGTGGCATCCGTGCTTGAGAAGCTCAAAGAGGACTGCAACGGCAGCGAGAACAAGGAGAAGAAATCTTTCCAGAAGGAGCTGATGACTGTGAGTACATCTTTCTTCCTTCCTGCCCATCAAATGTCTCCAGCAGATAACAATAACAACTTGCATTTATATAACACTTTTCATGTCGGGAGGACATCCCAAGGCGCTGGACAATGAGGGGTTTGCACTCGAGCTACTGGTTGGGATCCGAGAGGGGGGCTGGAGGTGGAAAGGCACAGTCAAAAAGAAACAGCTTGAGACGGGCCTCGAAGAAGGCAAGGGCGGGTTGAGGTGGAGGAGCTCTGCGATGGATAGGGGTGGGGGCAGTAAGGCTGAAGGCCTGACTGTCAATGATGGAGCAGGCAGGGTGGGGGATGTGGAGCAGGCCAGTGCCTGCAGACCGAGGGAGAAAACAGGTATGTGAAGTTTTAATAAATCACATAGGTAGAGAGGAGCAAGGCAGTGGATGGCTTTAAAAGTGAGGACAAGGATCTTGAATTCAATCCTCTGGGGATGGGGGGGGGCCTGTGAAGCTGGGCGAGGATAACCAGTGAAGCTGCAGTATTTTGTGTTTCATCCCCAAAATATATTTGGTCACTGTTGAAGCACGCTGAATATCCATCCCTGTGACCACCTGACTCAGAGCATGAAATTCTAATTGGCATTTAAACGCAATGCTGCTCATGTTGGGGTGGAGGGTTACGAGAGGCAGGGAAAGTGAAAGCAAGAGAGGGAAAGGTACTGTGGAGGAGGTGAGCTTCGGCATCTCTATACTTTCAGCAAAAACTCAAACGGGTTTTAATAAATAATCCTTGCATTTGATTCGGCGCCTTATCATGTCAGACTTCCAACAATGCCTTGCTGCGGATATAAAGCCCAGCCAGGTGAGGAGCCACTCAGTCGGGAGCGAAGTCAGGAGAGGGCAGGGAGTGGGGTGGGGGGGTAGGGGGGTTAGTGACGGGGCAGCGCTGATTCACAAAGTGATGTCGGCGTGACGTCACAATTAAAAAAAAGACAACAACAACAATAATGTCCTGGCAGCTGCTGCCACTGCCTCCGAACCATGACCACACAGCCTGCGGGCTGATGCCGTCCCGCTGATCGCTCGCTCCCGGTGAGGCTGGATAGAGGGAGAATAGAGAGGGGGAACAGAGAGGGGGAAGGGGGGCCACTCTTGTTCTCTCTCTCACACACACCATGGGAGTGCCATGGATCTTTAACACCTACCTGAACAGGCACTGATGGAACCTCCTCAGTTTAATGTCTCATCTGAAGGGCGGCACCTCCGACTAGCTTTCCCCAATACCACGCTGTCATGATCCACTGCATTATGTCAGCCTGGACTGTGAGCTCAAAATCCCAACGTGGAGCTTGAACCCACAACCTTCTGACTTGGAGGGGAGCATGCAAGAGACTGAGCAAGAGACTGAACTAGGCTGACATCATAAACCCAGGAATTTCATTTCTAACGAGTCAGTCTATCTCTTGATACACGCGCATGCCCCACAGGTCTGTAACTTGCAACTAAATGTCGACAAGACAGAAGCTTGGCTCCCGTCAACATCTTCTGTCCTGCAGCTCTGACCTCCTCCTCCCCGGCCTATCCCTCAGATTCACCAAACCGATGTGCAACCTAGGCATCAGGTTTGACCTACAGCTGTCCTTCCTTCCCCACATTCCTCCCCTCCACCACATTGTTTGCCTCCAACCATACCTTACCTCAGACGAAGCCGAAACACTCACTTGACTTTTCAAATGCACTCCTCGCCGGTCTCCCCAGGACCATGATCCACAAAATCCAGCTGATCTTCCTCCCACATACTCACCCATTGTAAATGCCATAATCCCATCACACCAGTTCTAGCCAAGCTCCACTGGCTCCATGTCTCTGAACGGATTAATTTCAAGATCCTCACATTTGTTTTCATATCTCTTATGCCCTGGCACCTCTCTACCTCTCTGACATGCTTACTCCCCAACCCGCTACCTTCACTCTGGCCTCATTCATGTCCCTTTTGGCCTGCTTTCTACCAATACACCCCGAAACTGGAACACTCTTCCCCTATCCCTCTGCCTTTTCTTCCCCATCTTCAGCTCTCACCTGAAGACCTTCCTTTTTGACCGTGCCTACCGTCACCTCCCCCCAGCTTGGAGTTGCACTCCGCCACTGTCAAGCACTCTGGGACGTTATCCTGCGTGAGGGGAGCTATATAAATGCAAGTTGTTGTTGTCTGTGCTAAAAATTGACTCAATTGTTTAGAACACGCAGGTGAGTCAGGTGTTGTTGCTGGATGTTTGGTCAAATAAGAAACCGTGTTTTTAACTGGGCACAGGCTCATCCTTTGAAAATATGAAGGAAGGTTGGGTGTCTAAGTGAGAGGTATATAATGGAGCAAAAACAAGTAATAATAATCTTTACTAGCGATAGTGTCTTATCACGTCATTGAGATGTCTCAAAGCATTTCACAGAATATACTGTAAAGTGAATTGACTGTATATTTTGTGGGCAGAGTGCAGCAGCCAATTGTTCCACAGTGTGCCACAAACAGTCTTGGATTGAGTGACCAAATTATTATTATTATTATTATTGAACTCATTTGAAAGGATTATTACCCCCAGGAAGTGATCCTCCAATCAGGTTCTACTTGCTGCTGGTAACTAGAGGCGTGTGGAGTAAGGAAATATGCTGAAGGTTTTGCACCATCTGGGAATCAAACCAGGGTCCTCTTGCTTGCAAGGCAAGAGCTCTAACCAATAGACTACAGGACTCCACATCTCTGCCATGGGTACATGCTTCATGTCTCCCATCCCCTCCACTAGAGAGTCAGTATACTCTCACTGGTGGTTAAGTATTTGATGGGAACACACTGTTTGCCATTGCCCAGCTGCTCGCTGTTTGCACTCATGATTCATGGTTGTGCAGAATGAAATCAGTCAGGTGCAACACTCAGGAATGAATGTTCTGTATCTGTACTTGATAAAGCAGGCATGTTCTCGTTTAGCGTGAACGCATAACCAATATCTTGCCCTTTGTAAGCTCCCATTACTTTCCTTTCTTTCCCTTGCTTTTCTCTTTTCCAACAACAACAAATTGCATTTATAGAGCACCTTTCACATCAGGAGGACGTCCCAAGACGCTGGACAGTGAAAGGTTTGTAGCCAAGCTGCTGGTTGGATCCTTCGGTCCTCTTCCCTCCTCCACCCAGCCTTGTCCTCCACCCCTCTGATTCCACAGTCAAAGAGGAAGGTCTTGAGTCAAACCATGAAGGAGGCAAGGGAGGAGGCAAGGCGGAGAGGCTCCAGGATGGAGGTCCAGAGGGTGGGGCAGAGAGGCTGAAGGCCCAACGGCCGATGGTAGAGCGTGCTGGGTGGGGATGTGGGGCAGGCCAGTGCCCACCAAGTGGTGGGAGCAGACAGGTTGGTAAAGGTTTAGCAGGTCACAGAGATAGGACAAGACCATGGAGGGCTTTAAAGGTGAGGACGAGGATCTTTAACTCGATCCTAAGGGGGAGTGGGGAACAGATGAATCCGGGTGAGGATTGGGGTTATCGGCTCACGAAACTTAGTGATGTTGATTTATACAAAAGCTTGGCTGGACCATATTTGGAGTGTTGTCTTCAATTCTGATCCCAACAGCAATGGAAAGAGTACAGCATAGGTTTACAAGCATGATACCAGGGCTAGCAGGTTACTGCTATCAGGATAGACTGGATAGGTTGGGCCTTTTTTCACCAGAGAAGAGATGTTTAAGAGGGGACCGAATAGGACTGTTTAAAATTATAAAAGGATTCAATAAGGTTAACATCAATAAGCTGTTTCCACTGGCTGGGGAGTCCATAACCAGGGGACACAAGTATAAGATAGTGATCAGGGGATCTAAAAGAGAATTTAAGAGGAACTACATCACGCAGAGTAGAATAAGATTGTGGAACTTGCTGCCTGAAGCAGTGGTTGAATCAGATAGTGCAGATCGGTGTGGTACAACAGCCGACCATCTTCTCATGGTAGCGGCAGGAGCCAGTGGTCGGTGGACACAGCGCAGGAAGTGGAAATAATGCCGGCCGTTACTGCAGTCTCTCAGGGAGGCAAATGGGTCTCCTTATCCATCATGTCCTGCAGATAGTGAACTGCACAGCTGATTGAAAGAGTTGAAGAATGATTGTGAGAGGGGATGAGAGAGTGGGGAGAGGGAGAGAGAGTGGTTGAGAGAAAGAGGGGTAAATGAGAGAGTGATTGACAGACGGGGGAGAGAGAGAGTAATGGAGAGGGGTAGAGAAAGAAACAATGTGTGAGTGAGTGCATGAAAGAGCAGGGAGAAAGAGGGGAGAGAGTGTGTGGGAGTGAGAGAATAATTGTAAGAGGGAGAGAATGTGTGAGAAAGAGGACAAAAGGACAAGTGATTGAGAGAGGGGGAGAGAGAGTGTGTGTGTGCCAGAGTGTGAGGGAGAAGTGAGAGAGGGAGATAGAGAATGTGTGAGTGAGGGGGCGAGAGAGCGTGTGTGTGTGAGAGAGAGGGCGGGAGGAGAGAAAGTGATTGAGAGAGAGAAGGGGAGAGAGACAGATAGGGTGAGAGAATGTGAGGGAGATGGGAAGACCGAATTCTTTGACTGGCTTTCAGTCATCTTTTCCCCTCCCCATCCCACCTCCGAGCTCAGGTGCCCATCCGGCAGTGTTCAGCGCTTTGGGACATCCTCCCAACGTGAAAGGCGCTCTGTAAATGTAATTTTGTTGTTGTGTTGAGTGCTTTCAGACATCCTTCCAACGTGAAAAAAGTGGTCTGTAAAATGTTGTTATGTTTCTGGAAGGGAAACAAAAATATTACTTATGCAGTCAACCAGTCGCTCTCCTCAGGTTTTGTTCCTCTCCCCCTTAAAATTGCTGTCATCAATCCCCTCCTCAAAAAACCCACCCTTGATCCCTCAAACCTTGCAAATTATCATCCCATTTCTAACCTGCCCTTTGTTGCTAAAGGACTGGATCGCATTGTCGCTAACCAGCTTTGCTCTCACCTCTCCTTCCACTCTCTCCTTGACCCCCTCCAGTCTGGTTTCCACCCTGTA